TGGCTTTCAAAAAAACTAGTCAGGTTGATATGGATGTGTATGGAACGGTAGCGATGTAAGGTGAGAGTTGGACAACAATACTCGGAGACATTTGAAATTAACAATGGACTAAAACAGGGAGATGCACTTTCACCACAACTCTTCAACTTATCTCTGGGGCACATAATCAGATGTGCAAGAATCGAAAAACCGAATGCAGTATTTCATCGAAAAGGACCAAACTTACTACTGGCATTTGCAGACGATATCGTTCTAATAGGAAACACACGATTAAGAATGAAGAAGACTTTCGTGAGGTTCGAGAAGGAAGCAGAGAAGATGGGGCTACAAATCAACAAAACCGCGTTAGAGAATTCAAGTATCTTGGAACAACAATAACTGAAAACAATAACGGATCACAAGAAATAAACAACAGGATTCGGGCCGGCAACAGATGTCTTTTTGCTCTCCAAAACCTTATAAAATTGAAACATCTAACAAGATGTACGAAGATACAGGTCTATAAAACAGACGTACGAAGATACAGGTCGTATAATCATACGACCCATTGTTATGTATGGAAGCGAAACGTGAACGATAACAAAGGCAAACGAAGAGAGACTATGTGTTTGGGAAAGAAAAATCCTAAGGAAGATCTTTGGTCCTGTGCTGGATGAAGCATCAGGACAATATAGGATAAGAACTAACAAAGAGTTAGAAGAACTTTACCTAGACGCCAGCATCATAAAAAAATAAAGTCCAGAAGACTCTAATGGACAGGACACCTCAGAAGACATTCTGACGAACGAACAGTAAGACTGGTGTGGAAGGAAGTCCCATCTGGAAGGAAACCCACGAAGGGTTGTAACGCCACGGAGTAAGTAAGTAAGTACATTTTTCTTCCATTTAAATATGCTTTGATTTTCACTTGGGTCTCTTTGAATTTAAATATTTTACTAGTTTACATGTATCTATTATATATTTTTTATGTATATTAAAAGTAAATAAACAATTAATAAAAAAACCAAAAAGAGTCGAAATTTATTAGTATCTAAAATCATTGTTATAATTGAGTCCGACATGACCCTGTAAGCAGATAGAAACAAGAAAATGAAGAAGGAGGATATAATTGATTAACGACATCATCAGCGGCATTATTAACAACACGTCAAGGTAATTCTACACGTGACTCTATTAACGGTTGTTTCCCCTAATATTAATGTTCCGCGACTTGGGTTGTTTTCGTAAGCTGCCAGATATCCGAGATCTATTGATTTACTGTATCAACAGGTTATACAATAGGGTTTATATTTTGATCTCTATAAAAAGATCAGACAATCTAAAAGACGTGTAAACATAAATATTTATTTGTGTGACTCTGGCATCAGACAAAATCAAAATTTTTGTATGTTGTATTGTTTTTTTAATGTCTAATTACAAGAAATTTCGTCTTTTCTTTATCTTTAATTCCTTTTCTGCTCTTAGCTAGCACGATCAGATCATCACTGTATCTTAAAATGCATCTTTAAATGCACCTTTCTTTTTTACTTTGTGCACAGTTTGTTTAAAGCTAATGAATAATTTTATGGAAAATTTTCTTATATTTGTAGCATTCTTCATAAATGTCTCACAATAAAAAAATTATTCCGCATTACAAAAATTATACTGATTTTCACCAGTCGCTTTTTTATATAGTTTATTATTTGTATAAACTTCAAGTATTTTATATGTTTTATTCAATAATACAATACCTGTAGCTATACTAGATGCTTAACTCCTTTAGCAATTTCTGCGTCTTCTTCTTCTTCATGTACCATGTCCTTTCAGAACGTCGGTTACCATCATAGCTATCTTAATTTTATTCACTGTTACCCTAAATAGCATGTTTGTATCAACACCATACCAATCTCGCAAGTTCTTCAACCATGAGATTCTTCTTCGTCCTGGACTGCATTTGACTGCTATTTTTTCTTGCATGATATTTTGTAGCAGCGTATATTTGGAACCTCTCATTACATGTCCGAAATACTCCAGCTTTCTCTGCTTGATGCTTTTTATGCTCTCAGTTGTCTTGTCGAGACGTTCTAGTATTGTGGAGTTTCGAAGCTTCTCCACCCAGGAAACTTTTAAAATTCTTCTATAGCACCACATTTCGAAAGCCTCAAGGCGATTTAGATCGATTTTATTCACAGTCCAGGACTCCACAGCATAAAGTAAGACCGAGAATACGTAGCAGCGAAAAAGGCGGATCCTCAATGCCAATTTTAGGTCTCTGTTACATAACACCTTGGACATAATTGCTGTCCAAGGTAAACGACTTTATCAACTCGCTCAAGTTTGGTATTATTTGCATATATAGACGGTTTTATATGCTGTTGTTTACTTATTACGAGTATTTTGGTTTTCCTTATTTTAAGATCCAGACCTACCTCCCTACAACTCTCAACGACACTATCAAGTAGTGCTTGCAGATCTTCTTGATCTAGGAGTACTTCTTGTTTTTCAGAAAATACTTTACTGAAAATTCTTTCGGGGTAAACGTTAAAAAGCAGGGGTGACAAGAGGCATCCCTGCCGTACTCCTCTTTTAATATTGGGAGCCTGTGATTCCACACCATCTACTAAAACTGATTTTGTTTGATTCCAATATAAATTTGCAATTATTCGAACATCTCGCTCTAAAAGACATTGCCGTCCAAGCCAATGTTTTTAAGAGCTTTGATCAATGTAGAGCGCTTAACACGATGAAATGCCTTTTGGAAGGCAATAAAACAACAGTGTATATCTACAGATATATCACGACATCTTTAAGCAAGTACGTTCATTCCAAACAGTGCCTCTCTCGTTCCAAACCCGTTACGGAAACCAAACTGAATGTCATCCAGGTATTCCTCGCATTTATTGTAAATACAACCATGTTCAGAAAAATTTTCAATAAGTGGTTTAAGAAACTGATGGTTCTATAATCAGCACAGGTTTTTGCTGTTGTCTTCTTAGGTAGAGCTATAAACAGTGAATTAGACCAACCATTAGGTAGTTGTCCGCTGGTATAAATGGTATTAAAAAACGAAGTTATAGCCTCTAAAACATTTATAAGCTGCGTCTTGTCTTGTCTTCTGCGTCTTGTCTGATGATATTTTTATGAGTAATTTATTCCGCGATTGCGGTGTCCTTATCTCAAAAAACATTAATTCTAGAAAGTCTAAGCTTTTATAGGTATATTTTGATCGCTGCATAAAGTTGACACAATAATGACAGTAATGATGTGTTTACTATTTACGAATTGTTTTGTAATAGATATCAGTATGAATTGTAAGCGATTATTGTTAATGTAATTAGAATTTGTAGTATTTGGATGAATGAATGCATGAATGAATGAATGAATGAATGAATGAATGAATGAAATAATGAAATAATGAAAAAACGTAACAAACACTTATTGTGACTACCAAATGAGTTTTTCATAATTATACGTAACTATATAAATACGTAATAATTAGATTAATTCGCTGTGGCAATATGGATCTTTAGTTCTTCTTCTAGTGTTTGTCCTTTTCGTAGTTTTGAGATCAAACTGGAACAAATTATGTTATCTACTGCTGTTTTTAACAGTTCGATAGATGGCACTACAGTGAATTGTTTAGGTTTTTGAAATTTAAGTTGCGTTTGTGCTGTTTCCAATTTTACCTTATAATATTAGTTATAAAAACGATATTCATAATTTGTATTACGTATATGTATATATATATATATATATATATATATATATATATATATATATATATATAGTATAGAAGGTGAAGGTCGAATGTAGAATTTGTTTTTCCTGAAAACTTTTTTATGTTCTGCTATACGTTTGTTAAAAGTTATACCAGCTTGACCGATGTAAGTTTTTGGGCAATCACCACATTCCTAGTATTCCTCCTATAGAAACTTTTGTTTTAGTAAAAACCTTTTAGACCATAATATTACAAATCCAATCATTACATCTGAAATTTTACATCTTTTTGAAATTTGCATAAACCAGGACTACTTTAAACTTAATAATCAAATATATACAAATCATAGTGCAGGACTTATAATGCGCAATCCTCTAAGCCCATTGCTATCAGATATTTCTATGGATCATCTAGAAATAAAGATTTCAAAACATCCCGTATTCAAACAGTTTTTAAATTGGTGGAGATACGTAGATGATGTACTGGTATGTTTTACAGGAACTAACATGCAACTTGACCTATTTTTATCGTATATTAATTCACTTCAAAGTCATATTGAATTTACAATATAAACAGAACAAAATCAATTCATACATTTTTTTTTATTTAAAAATTATCAGACTTAAAAACAAACTTCATAAGATAAATTCTTCACATTTCATAAACCTACCCATACTAACACGAATATACACAATTCATAATCTCATCCTACACAACATAAATTTGAGATAGAATTAAATATCATTAAGCAAATAGCAGTAAACAATGGATACAACAAACAAAGAATTTTAAAATTTTAAATCAAAAACTAGAACACATAAAAAAAGGAATAACACCAGCTTTTAGAAGAAACAACAGATTAGGCAAATATATTAAAAACAACAAGGGCCAAAATAAAAAGCACACAGTGGTGTATACAAACTTAAATGTGGCGAATTTCCAAATACTTACATTGGTCAATCCGGTAGAACTTATAACAAACGTGTAGCTGAACATAAAAGGGTTTTCAAACAAAAACAGATTCTAGATACGCACTTTACCTTCTAGATCATAATCATTCTTTTAATGACGACTTTTAAATTCTTCACATCCAAATTATACCAAAAATAGATTACTTGAGAAAGACACTCTGCCGAAACAGATGTAGTGATAAGATATTTTATTAAATTTTATGAAAGTTCTGAAAACAAACTTTTCTGTGTTTTATTGGTATATAAATTAATATTATTTTTACTATAAAGTCTTTATATAAAGTTTATTTGCAAAAATAGTTTTCTCATATTTCAATCTATTTTATTTACAGAACGCTTAACAACAACAATCTAACATGGCTAGGCAAGGACATGTTCAGCAACATGTTTCGACTACGCACCCTGCGTTTGAGCGAAAACCTCTTTCATTGCGATTGTCAGCTATCTTGGTTGGGCAAATATTTGAGACACTCTCCAAGACTTGCTCAGTATACAAGATGCCATTCTCCCAGCCACCTTAAAGCACAAGCTATTGTCGATCTTCAAGAGAGGGAATTTAAATGTTCAGGTAATATTTTTTCTAAGTAAGTATAGTTACATAATAGTTTCGATTGGCACATTGTAAAGAAATAAATTGATATTCAAAATACAATACCCACTAAAACATAAAATAGTTTTAACGAAATTTTGTCAAATTCCCCACGTTTTGCAATAAAAGCTGGTGCTGCAATTCTTTTTTGGTTGTTACTTTACCCGCTTTAAAAACTTTCAATTATATTATGATCTACATGAACATATGAATTTTCTTTACTTAGTACGTGTCGAACTGAATATCTCCAACCACTTGAAAGAATATCATTGACACATTTAACTCTATCTAAAACCCCCTTATCAGTACAGTTTCGTCAATATAAGCCTTATCTGTATTTTAATTTGGAGTTTGGATTATACGCAATTAAATCAACATTAAGAAATGAAGATTGACAAATTTTATCAAAAAAAATATTTTAATTTTACCCGAAACCGGGCCTGTTATACTATTATTGGTTAACCCAAGATGTTTATAGTCATTACTAATTGAATTCAGCCATTTACTGCTAAACAAACTTTATTTACCACTATCGCTTTGTGATCGGGATACCTAACGTTATCATGCGAATACTTTTTCTACGTATAAACTAAACAACATTGGAGAAAGTATACAACCTTGCTTTACTCCCTTTTTATATTGTATTATAGAATTATAGAAATATGCTGAGGAGGAAACTGAAATTATGTTTTATTTTAGGCTTAGTTGAACGCGCAATTAGTGGTGAATGCACTAGTGAACCACAATGCCCTCATCCTTGTAGATGTGCTGATGGAATTGTTGATTGTAGACAAAAAGGCCTAACAAAAGTTCCTGATCATCTTCCAGATGGTATAACAGAACTGTAAGTAACATCATTATCGTACTTTGGGTTTGAATTAATTTATGAAGAACAATTATATACAAAACTCTTTTGGGGATTAAAACGTACATTTTACTTCATTTTTTTAATGGTTCTCATATTGATTATAAGTTGCCCTGTATATAAAAATGAATAATGAATGCTGTGTTGTCTCTTTTCAGGCGTTTTGAACAAAACGAAATTACCGAAATACCACCGAAAGCATTTGTTGTTCACAAACGACTGCGTAGGATGTAAGTTGTAAAAAGATATGTATTTTTACAGTACTATCATTAATCTTATGTTTCAGAGACTTAAGTAATAATAAAATATCGAAGATTGCCCCAGATGCCTTCCAAGGACTAAAAGCCTTAACATCGCTGTAAGTAAAATTCAGTTTAAATAAAATATATAAGTATCTATATGTGTTGCCTAGTTTTTTATATTATTTTACCAATTTCCAGTTGACATAACATCAATAAAAGTAACCCGACAATCTACTCCCAAACATTTTCTTCAATGACATGTGTCTCACTGCTTTGCTAATTCTTTGACATTTATTTTTGCAATATAAAACTCTAAAAAAATATATAATCTGTTTATAATGTCATTGTGTTAGACAAAAAAGAAAAAAATATCAGCATTCTCTAAAGATATATCTGTAGCAATTACATATTTCTTTTTCGGCATCATAAAACAGCTCTATTTTTATTTCCTGCTGTTTTATAAATACTTGAAGCTTTCTACTAATTTTAAATATGATAAAAGATGTCTTAAATATAATTAATAGGTGTACTTCATCTACCTCCTTTATACTACAACCACAATGAGAATTTTCTTTGGTTATTATACTGTTCTTTGTAGTATTTAGTGTTTTTTAATACGAACATTAATTTAATGTTTTTTACAGAGTCTTATACGGTAATAAAATTAAGGATTTGCCTGCTGGGGTGTTCCAAGGATTAGTATCCCTACAACTATTGTAAGTAATATAATGAAAACTCACATTATTATTACTTAATATTTTTTTCTTTTAGGTTGTTAAATGCTAACGAAATATCTTGTATTCGAAAAGACACCTTTAGGGATCTACATAGTTTGAGTTTGCTGTAAGTAAAAAATAAAATGAATATATCTAATTGAAGTTTGAAATATGTAATACTTTAGATACCTGCTCTGATTTTATTACATACTAGTTTTTCATTGCTCCTTCAAATTTATTGTACAAAATTATGATCATTATGACGGGAGATGCGACGCATCTATAATGAAGAGGTCGCCGCCGTGTATGCTTGTACTGAAACCTGTCGCGACATGAATCTCATTCTTTCCGGATGCTTTATTTAGTGTTTTCGTTTTCCGTGAACATTACGTTTCGATAGTTTTGAGATACAGGAATACTTAGTGTCAAACTTTTATTTAATTTGTTTAGAAAGTTCAGTTCAATGGTGAACACAAGTTAAAAAAGTCGTACAGTTCACTAAGATAGTTATTAGCACCAGTAAAGTTGGTACCGTTATCGCTAAATATAATAGAGGGGTTCTCTCTACGAGCAATAAAACGTTTTAGTGCTAGTTAAAGGGAGTCACTAGAGAGAGAGGATATGAGCATAACATTTTGTGAGAAGGGGATCTTACGAAGGCGAGATGTTTTTATCATAAGTGGTCCACCATAGGCAGTCCCAATATTTCGAAACGGGCGTGAGGTCGAAACTCTTTCCTTTGGTAAATCGGACATGATTTGCTGTGCAGGTTGTGCGCGAAATCTAAAGCAAGAGCAATTTCTAATAATTTTCTTAACTTCCCTAAGGCCATTTAAGGGCTAAAATTTTTGTCTGACGTTGGAAAGTAAGGCTTGTGGTCCGATATGACCAAATCTAGTATGTATGCTCGTGTGAAAGCAAGAATGACTACATGTGATTTAGAGGGAAGTAAAATAAGGAGTTTGTGATATTCTAGAATGTCTGCATTTTTTAAGCGTCCACCGACACATAAAAAACCAGAGTGATTTATGAATGGGCTAAGTGAGACCATGTTTTTATTTGACAGTGATTTGCTATTTTGGATTTCAGAGGTTTCTGAACTGAAGTGTTGTTGAACAATTTTACAAATTGAGTTAGTGGACGTTAGGAGTTCATCTACAGATTGTGAAACAGTAAGAGTTTTAGTAAGAAATCTTGAATTGTAAATAAATCTGTGAACATATGCTATTGTGTTCACTAGTCTAGAAAATGAAATGAATTTGAAATATTTTATGCCAAAAATTTTTTTCGGTAGTTTCTCTCTTCTGGTAAGTTGCATTCATCAATTTTTTTATTAAAATGAGCGGGATTTAGATTGGGATCTTGGAGAAATGAAGGACTTGACCACCATAAATCTAATTTTAAAATGTTTTGGGCTAGTAATCGTCTAGATGGGGAGTCGGCAGCATTTTCCGCAGGTTTTATGTGGCGCCAGTAAAAGGCATTGGTCAATCCAGTGATTTGGCCAACTCGATTACAGACAAAGATATTCCAGCGGGATGCATGAGATTGTATCCACAACAGTGCTATCCTTGAATCGCTTCACAAATTGACACTAGAGAATGACTGTTTGTTTTCATATATTAATATGATTCTGTTGGTGAGTTTTGAGAGGAGTAACATGGCACAAAGTTTAAGTCTAGGTAGGGTAGTTGTCCTGACAGGGCTTACCCGAGATTTTCCTGCAACCAGTATGCAGGAAACTCTGTTATCAGGGTATACACTACGAAAGTAAATGCATGCTTCATAAGCCTTTTCGCTGCTGTCAGCAAAGCCATGAATTTGTATGTGTGCAATTTTGCTATTAAGAAATAAACAGCATGGATTTTTTAAAGACTTTAAGTGAGGTATATTATTTACAAAGGTTGTCCTTTCTTTTTTCAAAGAGGAAGGCAAGATATCGTCCCAGTCTATTCGTTCGAGGAAAAGTTTCTTAATGAATAACTTTCCATGTAGAATCACAGGAGTTATCAACCCTAAGGGGTCGTACATTTTAGCTAGAGTGGATAAGGCAATTCTTTTTGTAACGTGAGTGTCAGTGGGGGTTCAGGTACTGAAATTGAGAGTGTATCTGGAGAAGGGTTCCATGAAAGTCCTACAACTTTATTAGAGGCATTTTCAATTTTGATATCATATGAAGTGGGTTAATCATTGTTACAATATTTTTCAGTACACCTTGTGGAATTGGAAACCCATTTGTGAGTTGAAATGCAAGCACTGCCTAGAACGGTATTTAATTCGTGATATGTGATTTCTAGGTCAGCTTCAGTTTCGACACCACAGAGGATGTCGTCTACGTAAGTTTGTGTAAGTAAGGCTTCACAAGTGAGGGGGTATTATTGCCAGTTTGGATTAAGTCCGAACAGTTGGATAATTTTTTAATCCGCTTTATTGGTGTTTCTCTTTCAAGATTTAAAGCCTTTATCATTACAAGTACGAGTTTCTAATTTCTTTTTGATTTATATTCGGCATAAGGTCTAATCCTTTCTTGATTATCCTTTTTTGCTCAAGCTGTTAACTGTCCCTTATTTGTTGACTTTAGTTTTGTTATGTTCAGCAGTTTTTCTCTATTTTTTGTTAAGAATCCTTTATTGTCTTTTAGTTTAAAAATCTATTTCCTTCCGTTTGACATCTTTCTTTATATCACCTTCATAGTTGTATTCCCTTTTATAGCTTGTCTATACGTTCTGTCATAAATTTCCTACGTATTCAGTTGTAGTATTTTATTCTACAGCACTGTGAAGAATCATTCCGTAGTTGATATAAAAAGTAAATACACTGATATAGACAGATTCCTGTTGAAAACAAAGGATAACAGGCAACGATATGACATACCGCATGTCAGAATCTAAGTCCTGAAACATCCACATCGGTAGTTAAAGGTTAACACTATTTTCTTTGCAGATCTTTATACGACAATAACATTCAGTCTCTGGCAAATGGAAGTTTTGATTCACTACGAAGTATTCAGACACTGTAAGTACAAATTATTTTTCTTCTAAAATCTTTATCAATCAAGTCTACGATATTATATCATAATTACTTAGTTTAGTTTAATGTTATTTAACCAAAGTATATAACAGATATAATTTGTACTAAGATTATTATAATTAATAGTAAAATATTTTTTAAAACAAAAAATATATGTAGTTCACGAATCTTTTATGAAACATTTATGGTCTTCTATTTTAGTCATCTGGCGAGGAATCCCTTCATTTGTGACTGTAATCTGAAATGGTTAGCGGAGTATCTTCACAAAAATCCGATAGAAACGTCTGGGGCGAGATGCGAAACGCCCAAACGAATGCAACGAAGAAGGATAGAATCGTTGAAAGACGAAAAGTTTAAATGTAAGGGTAAGCACCTTTCCACTATAATAAGTGGTAACGGTGTCTCATTTAACATTCATTTTTATTCGATATTAATATTTGTCAATGTTTGCTTTTACGAAGATTGTTCTGGAAATTTTTTAGCATAAGACGTAAATCTAACAAATAGAACAATGTTAACATATTACGTGTCATCATCATCATCATCATCATTCCTCAACCTCTTGCATCCACTGTTGGATACCGTCCGTCCATCTTTTTGGTGGTCTGCCTCGGTGTCTTTTGTCTTCTCTAGGTCTCCATTCTATGAGTCTTTTGGTCCACCTATTATCATTTAAACGTGCTATATGTCCAGCCCATCTCCATTTGGCTTGAGCTATTTTTCTATGTCATCTGCCACTTTAGTCCTCTCTCTCACTATCATATTTGGTACCATATCACTTCTAGTTATTCCCAACATTGCTCTTTCCATTTTCTTTGGGTTACTCTCAATTTATTTGCAGAATGTTTGGTTAAAGTTATTGTTTCGGAACCATATGTTATTACTGGCAGTATGCATTGGTTGTAAACCTTTTTTTTTTTCAAGCAAATCGGTAGCGTTCCTTTTAGAATATCTCGCACCTTGCCAAATGCTGCCCATCCCAAGCCTATGCGACGCTGGATCTCACAAGTTTGACTGTCTTTTCCTATTCTCATGTCATGCCCTAAATAGATATAGCTAAAGACCTGATGTACTTCGTTCCCATCTACCCTCATAACATCACTTGGAACTAAATTGGTCATGTATTTTGTTTTTTCAAAGTTTATGTTCAGGTATATTTGTTCTATTGCCTGTTTTAGTTCTTCCATCATTTTGTGAGCTTCATTTAAACCCTTGGCTATAATGACAATATCAACTGCAAAGCGCAAGTGGCTTAAGTATTCACCATCAATATTTATTCACCTTTTGCTGCAGTGAATAGTTGGGGGGAGATGGTGTCGCCCTGTCTAATTCCTGGCTCAATTCTATATTTATCGGTAAAGTCATGGAGTTTAACAGATGCTGTTGCGTTGTTGTATATATGTTTTATCAAATTTGTATATTTATAGTCTACTCGGCTTTGTTCTAATTCTCCTAATACTGCCGGTAATTCCACGGTATCAAAAGCTTTCTTGAAGTCTATGAAAATCAACGTGAGTGGTTTATTATATTCAACACATTTTTCAATTAGTATTTTAAGTGCTTGTAGGTGGTCATTTGTTCCATAACCTTTCCTAAGCCCAGCTTGCTCCTTAGACTGATAGAAATCTAATTTTCGTTCTAAACGTTTTGTGATGATCTTGGTAAACCATTTGTAGAGATGTGACAACAGACTTATCGGTCTATAATTCTCTAGGTCTGATATATCTCCTTTTTTGTGTATTAGGATAGTAATTGCATTGTTCCATTTTGTAGGGACAATACCTTGGTTTAGACAATATTACGTGTAAGCCTTTTTAATCCATTTAAATTCATATTCATGTCATATTCCCTATACATGACATTTGTCAACTGTCACTTTTGAAAAATCGTTTAAAGGGACCGACATTTGATTTCATTAGTTCTATTCTGTCTACCTCCTCATAGCAAACAATGGTCGGGTTCTTACACCGGTACCATGACAAAAATTTTTTAATGTGTCTGTGAAGTCCAGTGTCGGTTTTTTGTATGTTTTTTAAGAATTTTTAACAACTAAGTAATTAAAAAATTCAAAATTTCAACAAATAAGGAAATGAGATCTCTCCATTGTAGTGGTATTTATAAATTAACCTAAGTATAAAATTAAAATCTTCACCAATTAGTTACTTATAAAAACATTTTATTGTAGCATAGCTCCGATGATGGCTTTGTAAAGCCGAAAGCGCTCAGCTAGGAATTATTAAAAAATATACACACTTCAAATTTTTTGCCTTTTCTTTTGTCTTTTTCTATTTCCTGATCTCGGTTATTTAGGCTTTTTATGTTCCACGTCGCCACTCTCATTATATTTTTTGTTTTCCAGTTCGTCGTCCTTTTCTCGCCTTTGTCGTTACCATATTTTCTGTGCTAGTCCGAGGCTCGTCACCCGTTCTTTGAGCTTTTGTTTATTTTTATATATGGCAGGCTGCTAACCTAACCCTACAACCCTCCTCCTTTATCCGGGCTTGGGACCGGCAACATCTCCCACCAAGCTACTCGATCCACCTAGTGGGTAATGCAGGCGGAGTTAGATTGATAGTTTGACTGAGTTAATCAACTATTAGAGCTAAATGTGTATAAGAGAAGCTAATGTATTAAAACCTATTAAGAAATTGTCGTACAAACTATTGTGGTTTACAGAACAATCTTCTTATTTTATCGCTAATGCGATTTTTGCAAATTTCATTCAACTAATATTGGTCTTTAATTACAACGACCAAATTAATATTTTTTACACTTTAACAGATATTTGTGAAAATTTGCTGCAGTTTAGAATCATATTTTCTTTATAATGTAAATAAAATCCGAAATTACGTTAATGGAAATTTAATTATTTATACAATTGATGTATCCCGTGTATGCGGTTCAGAAAGTAAGATGAAAATCACCCGATGATGTATTTTCGGATTTTTTGACAATATTTAATTTTCCACCTCATTTTCATTTTGTTTTCTAACGAATCAATATACTTTTGGATAGATATCTTACTGGAAATTAATACTTTTGACATGAAAAATTATTCCGTATTTTCCAGTTTTTACGATTGTGCTTGCGATTATCTGTGCTTGCACTACTACGACCCATTTACGTTGGCTACGGCCAACGTTGTTGCCATTTAATAGGCGGGATCTGTAGAAATTCAGACCATAATGGACATTTTCCATAGGAAGCTATTTTTTTGCTGGAATCCCTTCAGGATGTGCCCAATATCGATAATCACGATATGCGCCAATCGCAAACCCTGTGCTAAATTTATTATTGAACAAAATCTGAAAACAATTGAAAATTTCTCATCTTTTGCTCCTATTTTCGTTTATAATTCGGAAAATATTGATCCTAGAGAAAAAATTACACGAAGTTAAAAGCTTCGTTATTCAATTTTACACAATATTTCGTTAGCTAGAAATTAAAAATTTAATGTATATTGTTGAAAGAATTGCAATAATTGGAAAAAAAAGTACAAAAAAATTAAGTTAATTCTTTAAATGTTTTCGAGTTTCTAAACTTGACGTACAAGCTCCATATTCCGCCTAGAAAAGCTTTTTAATATGTTTAAAAACGTGTGCTAAATTTGCAATCCAGCCTACTGGAAAAAAAATCGCAAATTTTCAAATTTATAGTAGGCCTTAAATAAGGCTCTCAGATAGTTGCAAATTTTTTTACATATAAAGGAAGGATCAAACTTTCAAACGTTTTTTGTAAAATTCAAATCGGTTCACTAGGAGAGCCTAGAATTTTTTTTTAAGTTTTAAACATTTTTTAAAGGCTTATAAACAAATTGAATAATTTTATGAGCTTTAAACATATCAATTTCAAAATTTATAGACTTAAAGAACATTAAAAGACGCTTCTTTAAAAAAAAGTTACATTCGGCTTACTGGTTGCCGAGATAATAAAGGTCAAAGTTGGCATACATTTGCCGTGTAACCATAAGTGATAGAAGGCTCGTTTTTAAACAAATACCCTCGTCTTGTCATATACTTTTTATATGCAAAGTTTGACGTAATGCGCTTCATGGCAACATCCATAAAAAGGACAAATAAAAAACCGTTTTTGCGTAAAATGTCGCTCGGAATGCATGAGAGGTGTTGGTGGGGGACATTCACTCGAAATTGGAATCGGCGCGTTCAAAATCATAGCGCGCGCTAAAAATTGCCTTATCTCGGCTTCTTGTTAACCAATTTTGCTCTTTTTTTTTTAAATCGATGTCTCGGACGACAAGGATTTTAAATATCATATTTTCAAATACCATTTTTCATTGCAAATTGGGAAATTTGCAATAAACAATTGTATGTTAAACAAGTAATTGCATTTTTTCTTCATGCATTTTTTTCGCCGATTAACATTTCGAGTGAATGTCCCCCACCACCACCTCTCATGCATTCCGAGCGACATTTTACGCGAAAACGGTTTTTTATTTGTCCTTTTGATGGATGTTGCCATGAAGCGCATTACGTAAAACTTTGCATATAAAAATTACTTGACAAGTCGAGGGTATTTGCTTAAAAACGAGCCGTCTATCACTTATGGTTACACGGCAAATGTATGCCAACTTTGACCTTCAATATCTCCGCAACCAGTAAGCCGAATGTATCTTTTTTTAAAGAAGCGTCTTTTAATGTTCTTTAAGTGTATAAATTTTGAAATTGATATGTTTAAAGCTCTTAAAGTTAGTCAATTTGTTTATAAGCCTAAAAAATGTTTAAAACTTTTAAAAAATTTCTAGGCTCTCCTAGTGAACCGATTTGAATTTTACAAAAAGCGTTTGAAAGTTTGAGCTTTCCTTTATATGTAAAAAAATTTGCAACTATCTGAGGGCCTTATTTAGACTCTACTATAAATTTGAAAATTTGCGATTTCCAGTAGGCTGGATTGCAAAATTATTATGCAAAACCTATCCGACCGATCTTAACAAAATTTAACACACGTTTTAAACATATTCAAAAGTTTTTCTAGGCGGAATATGCAGCTTGTACGTCAAGTTTAGAAAGTCGAAAACATTTAAAGGATTAACTTCATTTTTTTGTACTTTTTTTCCAATTATTGCTATTTTTTCAACAATAAACATTAAATTTTCAGTTTCTAGCTAACGAAATATTGTGTAAAATTGAATAACGAAACTTTTAACTTGTTATAATTCTTTCTCTAGGATCAATATTTTCCGAATTATAAACGAAAATAGTAGCAAAAAATGAGAAATTTTCAATCGTTTTCAGATTTTGTTAAATAAAATATTTGAGATATAACAAGAGTATTTTATTGATTTCGTAGAATATAAATGAAACTTTTAAGATTGCCAGTAGCACAAACATCAATTGTTTAAAAAAATGTTTACTCGGTAATTTGAGGTATCATCAAAATTTATTCATGATATAAAACGCCAAAAACCAGAAAAAGATTAAATCAGAAAATCAAAACCGAAACAGATTTTCTAAAAATTATCAATATTAATCATTTCAAAAGTACATTGATTTCTTTTGTGTTGTTATAAAACGTGGCAAATCATAAATTATAAAGAACTCTTAGTTTACATATTTTTTGTTATATACTCTTAGGTCAAGAAGAATTTAGGACAAAGTTTGCTGGAGAATGCCTGATAGACAATGCATGTCCATCGGGTTGTTCTTGTGATGGAACGATAGTTGACTGTTCAGGAAGAGAGTTAAAGGAGATTCCAAGAGACATTCCGTTATATACAACAGAGCTGTAAGTTAAAAAGTTTATTTTTCAGAAATTATTAATTACTAGATTTTATCTAAATTTTTGTACATTTTGACATAGTTATTATTTTTTTAAGGCTATTTTTCAGTGCTAGAGATCAGGATTTTTTTGTTGCTAGATTGGCTTTTTTATTCCCTGGAATACCAACACGTGATGGTCCACAATATTGTTACTGTTATTTCATTAGTTTGAAGATGATTACATATACTCTGGATAGAATATAAGTTTCTTATGGAGTGCATGTATGATAGAGAGTCAGTACAGATTGCTATCGTTTTATTGTCGTTGAGTGAAGTTTTCACAGATTGTAATATTTTATATAGTTTAGCAGAAAATATTGCATTTGTTAGAGAGTCGAAACAGCTTGGCAGTAGTTGTATTTGATGTAACAGCACAGCCAACACCTTCTTTACACTTAGATGCGTCTGAGTAAAGGATCTTATGGAAGTTGCATTGATGTAGTATTTTAATATTTGTTTTATAATGGAAGGTGATATTTCGTTCTTATTATACTTGCATAATTCAACATTAGCAAATTAGTACATTAACAGATCAAACT